TCTCCATCATCATGATGATCATCATCATCATCAGCAGCATCATCAGATCTCCCTCTCCTCCATCTCCTCCTCCTCCTACTCTTCCTTCTCCTCCCCCTCCTCCTCCTCGCCCCCCTCCTTTTCCTACTCCTCACCCTCCTCTTCCTCTTCCTCTTCCTCCTCCTCCTCCTGCTCCTCCTGAGCTTCTGGGGCAAGATGGGGGAGGGCGAAGGGGGAGGGAAACAGATGGGAGAGGGGGAGGACGAGCGGGCAGGGGGGGACCCCGACATCCTCGCGTCGTTGGAGACGATACAGACAAACGAACGGTGGTCACTTTCGGCCTCTGGGGTCTTTACCCAGCCCCGGGACCCTTCCAAACAACTGCTCGGGAACAAGGACCCCTCTGGCGGCAGAAGAGGCCCAGACCTCTGGGGAGCCACATTTGGGCCAAAGAAGCACGTCGGATGTCTGGGGAGGGGAGGAAGGGGGGAGCCAGGCCTCTGGGGAGCCACGGGGCAAAACAGCACGTTGGATGTCTGGGGAGAAGGGTCAGGGAGGAGGGGGAGGAGAAGGGAAGAGGGGAGGGGGAGAAGGGAGGGGATGGAGGGAAAGCGGGGACGCAAGGGGAGCGTACAGCGGCGACGCGAAAAGCTGACCCTCGCCGAACGAACCGGCCACACGTTTTACATGGTGGAGGTGCTCAAGGAGCCGTTTGCGCCCTCCGGCAAGACTCGTTAGCAGGAGGGAGATCGATGATCGTGGATAGAGGAGGAGGAGGAGGAGGAGGAGGAGGAGGAGGAGGAGGAGGAGGAGGAGGGGGAGGAGCAGGAGGAGGAGCAGGAGGAGGATGAGGAGGAGGGGGAGGAAGAGGATGATTAGGGACAGGAAGAGGAGTGGGAGGAGGAGGAGGAGGAGGAGCAGAAGGAGGAGGAGGGGGCGAGCGAACGAGCGAGCGCGCGAGTTCGGTCCGGCGGGACCGGCCCTCATAGGTCGGAGGGGGAGGTGGAGGAGGAGGGGGAGGAAAAGGAAGGTGAGGAGGAGGAGGATGAGGAGGCAGACGGATCGAAAACCAAGGAGACGGAGGGATCGAGGATCCGGGGAGGAGAGGGGGAGAAAAGAGAAGTGAGACGGGAAAGGGAAGGAGTGGGGGCCATGGGCTGAGGGGGGAAAGGATGAGGTGGGAAAAGAATGATAAATGGGGAGAGGGAGGGAGGAGGGAAGAGGAGAGAGGGGTAAGGCAAGCTAGCTGCGCTCGCGCCACATCTGACATCCTATCCCTCCCTCCAATCCCTTCCCATTACGCTGAGTGTTTCTCTATCCGCGGACGCGTGTCATAGCCGACCTGGAACTCCACACAAGACCCCATCGTGGTATCCACAATCGGGAAATGGGAGCTGCGTACAAATGATCGGGAGGATGAGCAGGAGGAAAAAGAGTAGAACGAGGACGGAGGAGGACGAGGACGAACAGCAGCAGCATGAGCTGGAGTGGAAGGAGCGGAAGGAGCAGGAAGACCGGGGGAAGGCGGAGGACAGGAAATGAGGGGGATGACAACAAGGAAAAAGACTCGGATCCCGAACGATGGCATGCGCTAGGATCCTGTGTACAAAACAGTTCGTGGAGAGGGCCAAATATATCTTCCGAGCGGAGACCGGGGAGAGAGGAGAGCAGTATGCACTCCTCATAATTGTGGAGGGAGGGAGGGAGGAGGGAGGGAAGGAGAGGGAGGAGGGAGGGAAGGAGAGGGAGGAGGGAGGGAAGGAGGGAGAGGGGGGGGGTCATGTGAGGATAGGGCGAGCGTTGAGAGCCGCAGCCCCGCCTGCTTGAACTCCAGCTCTGGCAGCGGGTCCCTCCCCTCGTCTTTGGGCAGCGCCGCCACAAACCGGAATGTCACCTCCTGCGCGCAGAGGGAGCGATTCCCCCCTCACAAAGGAAGGTGGCCTCCTCGTCCTCCCCTTCTCCACCTCCTTCTCCTCCTCATTCTCCCTTCCTCCCCATCGTCGCCCTCCTTCTACTCCTCCCCTTATTCCTCGTCCTCCTCATTCTTCTCTTCCTCCTTCTCATCCTCCTCCTTCTCCTCCTCATCCTCCTCATTAACGGTGCTCATCTCCTTTGAATAAAATTATGATATGCTTCATGATTGTCAGGATGCACCCGCAACCGTCACATCGATCCGCGGCGTCGAAGTCCCAGGAACAAGGTTTTGACACGATGGAAGATTATCCCACGGTAGATTTCTAATCAGCCATTCCTCACAATGGAATACATTCCTCTAGGGCCCTATTAAGAGGAAACTCTGAGGATGGATTGTGACACCGTTAAGGCGTCTTGAGTTTACGCTGGTCCTCCTCCTCTTCCTCCCCTGCTCCCTCTCCCAAACTTTCCCTGATAGATGACTCCTTCCTGTTGCACGCCCAGACGTTTCGGCAGGTCGGGCAGGGCGCGTCGCCTGGAGACTTTCTCACCATGTATGATCCTGACACTGGGAATCTGCAACAGCTTCAAGGATGCAGGGCGGGGTAGTTCCCAGAATGTGGATCTCGCCTTAGCCCCGCGCGAATTCGTCTTAAGTTGCGTAAGGGTGGAGAGCGGATCATGTTCAACATGTGTCTCTCGCCTTAGCGCCGCGCGCATTCGTCTTCAAAGTTTGCAGCAGCTTCGCGAATTGAGGGCGGTTGGATTTCAAAATGTGGCTTTCGACCTAGCGCCGCGCAAGTTCGTCTTAACAATTTGCAACAACTTGAAATATTGAGGGCGGCTCCATTTCGCAGTGTGGCTCTCGCCTTCGCGCCGTGCCAGACTCGTCTCGAAAGCGAGCAGAAGTTTCAAGGATTCGCATAGTTAAAGTCCCAGAAATGCTGTTATGGCACGATTGCAGATTGTTCGCGGTGTTGAAATTTCAAGAATGGCGTCCTGACACGATTTGGGAGTGTCAGAACGCAACCGTCACGTTGATTCGCGGCGTTGAAGTCACAGGAATGGTGCTTTGGTGAGATTGGGGATTCTCCAACGATTGTCTCCCAACTGGGCACTTTCAGCAAGGACCCATGAAGCAGGAACTTGGAGGGAGGGTTTATTGCAACATCTTGGATGCGTCTTGGACTCGCACTGGTCCTCCTCCTCCTCCTCACGACATGCGCGTCGTCCTCGTCGTCGGCGTCGTCCTGCTGCTCCATCCCTCCTGCCCCTCGGCCTTCTCCTGCTCCCCCTTGACCAACAAGGCGTGTCCACACGGGAAGCGAGAGTCCTGCGGCTTATCAGACGCGGAGATGGTATCCTGCACTATCGCCCGCGGGCCCCAGCAGGGGCTGACGACCAGTAAACCCTGACGATGGCGATGACAATGACGATGATGACGATGGCAATGATGACGATGGCGATGATGACGATGACGATGGAGATGACAATGACGATGACAATCATGACGACGATGACGATGACGATGGCGTCCTGTACAATCACCCGCGGGCCCCAGCCAGGGCTGATGGCCAGTCAACCCCTATTCCCCAGCTGCGGCTAGCCCTGCTCATCCTACATATCCTCCTCCCCCTCTTCCTCCTCCTTCTCCTCCTTCTCCTCCTCCTAATCCTTTTCCCTCTCATCCTCCTCCTCCTCCCCCTCCTCCTTCTCCTCCTCCTCCTCCTCCTCCTCCTCCTCATCCGCCTCCTCCTCCTCCTCCTCCTCCTCCACATCATCATCATCCTCATACATCCTTAATCGATGCTCCGGTGTTTCCACCCAGGCTGCCAGTAGCCCCTCGATCCAGCACGTTCTCGTGATGTTCCATCCAGCCGAACAAGATAAACGATATCAACGCTTCGCGTTTCAGCGTGGACCTCGCTTCGCTTGACTCTCTTTTCTTGCTGCCTAGTCGCGGCCTGGCTAGTGTTTGGATGGCTTCCGACCTGTTTCGCGAGCCCGCAGACCAAAACGTTTCAGCGTGGACGCTTTGACGTCGACGCTGCAAAATGCGTGGCGGAAGCTTGAGCAAGGCTCTTCCGGGGCCCGGGTCAGCGGGGTCGATGGCTGCGGCTCCAGCTGCTCGCGCTCACGCTGCTGCCCATGATGCTTCCCCGCCCCCCCCACGCTCAGCCAGTCACCCCGCGGCACAAGAATCCCTCACACATGTCATACCTGAGAAGCAAGGCCACCTCCTTCCAAAGGCCTGGCCGGGATGGTCCGCGCATTGGGAAGTCCACAGAGAGCACGGTCCGTCAAGGCCAGTGGCTGGTCTGCTCTGTGCCGCGGTCGCCCTCCCCTCCGGGAGCCAAAGCCAACGACACTCGCCAGAGTGGCAGCGCGGGCCGCTGCAACTCTTATTCGGACCACGGGGCGGGCCGACAAAGAAAGGCGAGCCAGGCAAGGAACCGAAACGGGGCGGAAAGCGAGGAGCCGAGGAGCGAGAAAGGGAGGGGCAGAGGGAGGGGGGAGGACAAGAGGAAAGAGACGGGGCCGACAGACGGGAAGACGGGGGGAAGGGGAGGGGAAACCCCACAGAATCCTGGGGGCCCCCATTTCCTGACCGCGCGCGCACCTCCTCTCGCCGCCTGGAAGGTTGCGAAGGCGGGGGATGAGGTCGCCGACGCCGGAGGGGAGACGAAGGCGATGGAGAAGACTGAGGAGGATGAGGAGGAGAAGGAGGAGGAAGAGGGAGGAGGAAGGGGGGAGAGGAGGGAGGAGGAAGGAGGAGGGCAGAGGAGGAGGAAGGAGAGGGAGGAGGAAGGGGGGAGGAGGAAAAGGAGGAGGAGGAGGAGGAGGAGGAGGAGGGGGAGGAGGAGGAGGAGAAGGAGGAGGAGGAGGAGGAGGAGGACGACGACGACGACGAAGAGGACGAAGAGGGAGAAGGAGGACGATGGAGGACGGAGATGAGCAAAATGGTCAAGATCCACAACCAAAATGTCTAGCATGAGGAAGGATAGTAATAAGGACGCGATCGGAAGGGTGGATGCGGAGGAGAGGCGGATCAGAGATCGAAGATCGAGTGTTTTGGGGGCCGTGGACGTTTTTGTTCTGCCTCTGTTAACTTCCCGAGGCGCCAAGGGGCCAGGATCGGGGGCCTCGTTGCCCTGGCGATGCGCGCCGAGCTCGAAGCCGTCCGAGGCAACCAAAGGCAGCTTGATGCCATCCGAGGCCACCCGAGGCTATGCGAGGCCTGTCCGAAACACCGAACGATGCACCAATGGCGGGGACGATGGTGGGACCGTACCAGTCCCACGCAATCGGAGGGAAGGGACGAGGACTGTGGCCAGCAAAGGCCCAAACATCCGACGCTGTGATGTTCTTTCGCGTGGCTCCCAGAGGTCTTGACCCCTCTCTGGGGGCTGGCCTCTCATTCCGGCTCGTCGTCTTATGGTTCCGGGGCCAGCCCCGTGAGGGCGCCCAGAAACCGAAAATATCCGATCACATCCCGCCGAAGTTTCTGCACGACGCTAGTTTGTATGGGCCATGGGTTCAAATGTCGCCCGTTGGAACTATACTGGGGTTCGTCATGACCAGATTGTAAAAGGCGGATACAGCCGTGGCGACAAGAAACCCGCCACAGGCTCAGGAAAAAAAACGACAAACAACAACATCAGCAGCAGCAGCAACAACAACAGCAGCATCATCAACAACACCACCAACAACCACCAATCTCGGCGGACAAACCTCGCGTACCCGACCTCGGGCGCAACGCCCCAACGATGGGTGCGGCGACCGAGCCAGGGCTGCCGTCCCGCTAGCACCCCGCATGGGGGGCGCAGGCGGTGACGCGCGCTGTCCCCGACCAGGCCATCCTGGGCGTTGAACCCCAGGAGCGGGCGGGTGAGGCGGAAACGGTCCGCCACCGACCGAGGCAGCCGCACACCAAGGGGGGTGCGGGTGGGGTAGAACGGCCGTCGGGCCCGCGACGCGGGCGAGCGTCCCGCGAGCGCGGCGCGCAGCAGTAATACGAAACATATCAAGCAGACGGCGCCAGGGCGCGCCGCGACCCGCCCCGGCGCGATCCCCGCGGCGCGCCTGCGCGAGCGCCCGCGGCAGGCCCGCGCGTGATAACACAGAAGAACCATCCACCGAGCGCGGGCGGCGCGCCTTGCGGTCGGGCTACATGCGTCGCGCGTCGCACGCGCCGCGGCGCCGCGGGGCCCGTCAGCCGACCTGCGATTTGTGCCCGCGCAGCACCCTGCAGGCGCGCGCCCCCAACAACAACCATTTTAAAACTGCTCGCTCCTATCTGCTCACGTGTCAATCAGTACGTATATCACAAACCCTCGGTATCCGCCCTCGTCGTATTCGATCGTATCCCCTTTGGGGTATACCTTCCTTACCTACCACGTGCCTTAGTGCAGACCCTAAAACAAGAGAAGAGAAGACGGGTGAAGGGGGATGAAGACGAATGGAGCACGAGAAAAATTAGCAGGAGGGGGGCAAGGAGCAGAAAACAAATGGTAGAACCAGACGGGCAGAACGGGTGGGCAGACCCAAAGCGGGCAGGTCGGGAATGCGGGCCCAGGCGACGAGGTCGAGCAGGCGGGTTGCTGAGGCGTGGGTCCTGCATGAATAGCGAGGAAGTCTCGAGCGATAGCGCGATTCCCACGTAAATCGTAAAGAACAAAAAAAACAGCGAGAGCGTGATTCCTGAGCGCCGAAGGCGCATCGTCTGAGTAAACATCGAGGAATTCCTGCGCGAGAACGCGATTCATATACGAATTGTGAGGAAGTCCCGCGCGAGAGCGCGATTTTGCGACAAATTGTGAGGAAGTATCAGGCGGGAGCTGTAGTTGCCAACCGGGGGACAACAGCACAGGTTGAGCTCCGTGACTTTCCCTGATAAAGAGCAGGGTGCGAGCCCCGGGGGAAACACTTTAATTCAAAAAATACAATGGTCACTGGAGGGGAAGGATCAACAACAATTACCCTTCAGAGGTGGGAATTCAAATGGCGGCCGCTGGGCGAAAAGCCGGCCCGGCTGAATTGGCCGACGTCGCTGGAGCCGTCGACCGCGTTGGCCAGCACGGATGTCTGGGCTTTCGGGTCGTTGATCCGGCCTTCGCCACCCGTGCGCAATGGAGAACGACGATTCGACGACATCCTCGATCCATGAAAGAACAGGGCGGGAAGTTTCCCCGAGCTTCGGCGCGCAAGGTTCCTGACTGGGCCCCGGGACCCTCAGAAACAACTCAGCGTAAAAAGAGAACACATTCTGACCACTGGATACCACGGTATGGTGGAGGAAATGAAAGAACAACAAAACGCCGGACACATGCGGATAGACAATGACTGCGACGAACCTTCGGGAACCATGAACAAAATGACCATAGCCCCCGCAGTTGCGGATATGAGTTGGCTGGGGTGGGGAAATAGAAATGGAGAAGCAGGAAGAGACGAAGAGGGAGGGAGAGAGAAAGAGAAAGACCAGAGGGGTATATCAGAAGAGACTAACGGCGATAAGAAGAGCGAGAGGGATATCGAGGGAGGTGGAGAGGGCGATGGGAATTGCGGAAGGGAGAAAGAGGAGGCAGGCAGCAGAAACCAGGTGAAGGGGAATGCGGACCGGGGTTTACGATATCACCATCTCGGGCTCGTCGTACCAGGCGTCGGGGCGAGCCAGGCCACACGTGGCACGAGGCTGCGCAGGGGCGGCTCTCTGGAGGGGGGGGGGCGGGAGGGAGGGCCAGGGGAGGGGTCGGCAGTCTGCGAGGCTCGGGCGAGAAGCGGAAGCGCCGATTGGGCTGTCAAGGCAGAGCGGGCGGGTCGCCGCTTGGGTGGGTGGCTGGCGGGTGGCTGGCCGGCCGCGGGCAAGTCGCACACGGGCCGCGGGCGAGGACGACAACAATACCAGACAACTGTACGAGCGGTCGCTCTTCGCTGCTCGCGCGCCACTGAGCACGCACACCCCCGCGCCATCGCTGCCCGACCCTTCCGTTGTTGATCGTACTCCCTTTGGGGGTGTGGCGTCTTTGCTTGCCGCGCGTGGTGGACGCGGCCCCTGCAACAGGAAACAGGAAGGGGGAGAGAAGGAGTGGGGGTAGGAGACAGGAAAGGGGGGAGACGATGGAGGGGACAAAGGGAGATAGTAAGGACAGAGACGAAGAGGAGGGACACACGGGAAGGCGAAGAAGAGGCAGACAGGAAAAGAAATGGGGACGAAGAGACAGGGTTAGGTGGAAATATATGGGAGCCTATTCTAGCAAGTGTGGTCTTCGCCTTGTGATACTGAGTGCTGTTGATTGGGTCTAGTGCTGATCAACCCGACGTGCGTTTCACTCACTTACGGTTCATGTTGCGGCGACGCGCGAGGTTCGAGGCGTGCTCCGCCACTGGCCCCCTCTGGACGCTTGGCCCACTTTCGGTGCCCAACAATTCCTTTCTGAGGGCCGCGATTGGTGACTATCGAACATCCTCCGATCGCCCTGGGCGGCCTCGTCGCAATGCCCGACAAACCTCAAACAAATCCTCTTCCTCGTCCGCCTCCTCCTCCTCCTCCTCCGCCCCCATCTTTCCTCCTCCTCCGTGTCCCCCTCATCCGCCCCCTTTTCTCCTCCTCATCATCCGTCTCCTGCTCCTGCTCCTCCTCCTCCTCCATTCCTTGTCCTTCCAAATGACCCCTCCCTGTCGCAGCCCGAGGCCGTCGGTGGGGCGGGCCAGGCATTTCGCCTGAGACTTCTTCACCAGTTGCGATCCTGGAACTTATTAACTTGCAAGAGCTCGACGGACGGAGGGCGGGTCCACTTTCAAAATGTGGTCATCGCCGTATCGCCGCGCACACTCATGTCAAACATGTGCAAGAACTTCCCCGACTGAAGGCGGGTGGTTTTCATAGTGACGCTCTCGCTTTCACAACGCGCGCACTCGTGTTCGGAAGAAGTTCATCGATTGAAGGCGGGCCGATTGCAACATGGAATTAGCTCTTGCTTCAACGCCGCGCACAACCGTATTAAACCGTTGCAAGAGTTTCACGGGTTGCGGGCGGGCCGTTTGACAAATGTGGCTCTCGCCTTAGCGCCGCGCACAATCGTCTAAGCATCAGCAAGCGCTTCAAGGATGGAGATCGGCTTCTTAAAAAAATGCGGTTCTCGCATTAGCGCCGCGCGCACTCTTTTCAACGTCCGCAAGCGGTTCGCGGATTCTCATGGTTAACGTCGCAGAAACGGCGTTTTGAAGCGATGTAGGATTGTCAGGGCGCAACAGTTGCATATACTCGCGGTGCAGAAGTCCGAAGAGTGGCGGTCTGGCACGAGTCAGGTTCGTCGAGGCAAATCTGTAAGGTTGATTCGTGACGCTGCAGTCCCCAGAATAATGCTCCAGCGCGCTTCAGGATCTTCAAACGGTCGTCTCCGAACGGGGCACTTCCATCAGTGGACATGAATCCTTGCGGGGGCCTACGCAGCGAAAGCTTGAAGAGAGAGTTTATGCAACATCGTCGATCAAACTTGGGTTTGCACTGGTAGTCCTTCTCCTCCTCCCCCTCCTACTCCTCCCCCTCCTCCTCCTCCTCCTCCTCTTTTTCCTCCTCCTCCTCCTTTTTCTCTTCCTCCTCCTCCTCCTCCTCGCCATCCTCCACCTCCTCCTCCTCCTCCTCTTCCTCCTCATCCCGCTCCTCCTGCTCCTCCCCCCCCCTCTCTCCTCTGCCTCCCGCCCCTGCCCCTGCCCCAGCCCATGCTCCCGCACGCCCCCCCCCCCCCCCACCCAAGCCCCCTTCAATCATAATATTACCAACGTTCGTTTAAAAATCTGGCGCCCCCACTGCACGCGCAAACCCGCGCACGCACGCGCGCGCACGCGCGCGCATCCCCGCCCGCCCACCCACCCGCGCCCAACCCCCCCAACACCACCACCACCACACACACACCACCACCCCCACCACCCTACCCACCACCAGCACTACCACCCCGCTAACCCCTCCCACCCACCCACATCAGCCCATCCCACCCCACCCAACTAAAAACCATGCAAACATACAAAGACCTATAGACAACGGACCCTTCTGGGGCTCGAAAACATAAACCCACCTAAAGAAAATATATGATGTGGGCCTCTTGGGGTCCATCATGAAGGAATACACATCCAGAGGGAAGATGCTAATCGGCAGCGTTGTCCGCAAATGCTAACATGCAAAGTGCCCGATGTGACAAATTCATACAATTTCCTTATCACTGCTACATCGTGAGGGATACACGTCCGAAGCACGTTTGCCCTGGGCGTTGGGTGGTGAGGGATAAACTGGGCGTTGGGTGGTTTGCCCTGCTCGTCTGCCGCGCTATTCTGCCACGTCGTCGTCCCGGCTCAAGAGCACTGCCAGCGCCACGGGGGGTGGATGCGCCTGCCTCCCCCTCCAGCGCCGGGGCGAAAGCGCGAATGTCCACGAGAACAGTGAGCATTCGCAGCGTGTCCGCACAATGCAACGCCAAGTTCAACCTGCGCTTTGCATAGCAGCAGCGTGCCACTCGTATATGAGTACGCTGGCATCTTGATGATGTCTTAGGGCCGTTTGGGGGGCCTCTTGTTTCTCGGGGTCCCCTGGGGGCTTCTTTGGGGCCTCGTGGGGCCTTTGGGGGGCCTCTTGAGCCATCTTGGGACGCTCTTGCGCAGTCTGGCCCCTTCGGAGATTGTCTTAGGGCCTCTCGGGGCCGCCTTGTGCCTCTCTTGGGGTCCTCTTCGGCCTACTTGGGGGCCTCTTGAACCGTCTTGGGTGCATCTCTGGGCCATCTTAGGGCCCCCTGGGGCCGCCTTGGGGCCCTCTTGGGGGCCTCTGGGACAATCTTGCGGCCATCTTGGCTCCCCCTGGGGACCCTCTCGGGCCGTCTTGGGACCTCTTGGGCCGTCTCGGGGCCATCTTGGGCCGTCTTGGGCCATCTTCGGCCGTCTTGAGGCCATGTCGAGCCGTCTGCAGGCCCTCTTTGAATCCCCAGAAGGTCCCAGAGGCCAGTATCGTAGATAATATATGCGATTTGGCATGTTTGTGGACCCACAGAAGATTTTTGTTGCCATATTGGTCCACCGATGTGGCGTAACTCCAGTAGGAGTTTAGGGAGGCTACACGATAACGTCAACGAATACATTGTGTAGCAATTGTGTATTACTCTGGTAGATTTGATGCGTTGCATTACAGCGCTCGCTGACAAAAACGCTGCAGCTCAGCACGTTCCTGACGGACGTGGAATCTTCCACATGTGTCAGGGAATCCGTCCAACCCCCCACGGGAGTCGCGCCCTAGTCGCCGACCCAAGATGCCCCACCCTCTGGGACCCGACGACAGATATACCAAAAACGTATGGGAAATCAATGATATCGGCTTCTGTGGCTTCTTGGGGGTCAGCGAGGGCCTCCAGGCGGCCCAACCTGGCCTCAACCCAGACGGCCTATGACAGCCCAAAGACGGCCCAAGATGGCCCCAAAAAACCCAAGAAGCCCCCAAGACGGCCCCAGAGGGGTCCAAGAGGTCCCCAAGAAACACTGCCAGAGGCCAAGCAAATTGGTTTGCGCCCGTGCTTGGGACGTTTTTCGCGCCCTCGCCTTCTTCGACTCTCGAGCGCCCACGACGGCCCACGCAGCCTCCAGCACGGTCCCAACATGGCCTCAAGTCGGGCCTGGAGTAGAACGAAAACACGGCACAAACATAAACTTTTGGCGCTCCGCGCGGATTTCTTAGATCTGCGCTTGACCCCCCTCCCTGGCGCGCTCCGCGCGCCAGGGGCGGCGCCGGAGGCGCCGCCGGGGGGAGCCCAGCGCGGATCCAAGAAATCCACGCGGAGCGCCAACAAATTTACGTTTATAGCAATTGTTCCTCTCCGAAACATGGTCTCAAGTCAGCCCTGAAGGGCCCCAGGATAGCCCAAGGAGGCCCACAAGACGGATCAAGAGGCTCTAAAATCCGCCCACGAGGACCCCAAGAAAGGCACGAGACGGCCCCGAGAGGCCGCCCCAAGAGGTCCCCCAAAGGGGCCCCAGGAAGCCTCCAAGAGCCCCCCAGAAGCCTCCTCCTCCTTCTCCTTCTCCTTTTCCATCTCCTCCTCCTTCTGCATCTCCTCCTCTTCCTCCTTCCCCTTCTCCTCGCCCTCCTCCTCGATTCCTTTCCTTACAAACAACTTCTCCCTGTCGCACCCCGAGGCAAGTTTTTAGGGCGGGCCTTGCGTTTCGCCTGAGACTTCCTCACCGCTTACTAATCTGAAGCTTAAGAAGTAGAAGCAGTTTCGCGGATTAAGGGCGGGTGGTTTTCAAAATGTGGCTCTCGCCTGAGCGCCGCGCACATATTGCAAGAGCTTCACGGATTGAGGGCGGGTGGTTTTCAATACGTGGCTCTCGCCTTAGCGCCGCGCACATTCGTAGCTTTAACCATTTGCAGGAGATTCACGAATTGAGGGCGGGCCGTTTTCAAAATGTGGCTTTCGCCTTAGCGCCACGCGCATTCGTTGTTTAAAATCATTTACAAGAGCTTCAAATATTGAGGGCGGGCCGTTTTCAAAATGTGGCTCTCGCCGTAGCGCCGCGCACATCCGCTTTCAAATTCGCAAGAGCTTCATGGATTGAGGGCGGGTGGTTTTCAAAATGTGGCTCTCGTCTTAACACCGCGCACATTCGTTCAAAATGTCGCAAGAGCTTCACATATTGAGGGCGGGTCGTTTTCAAAATGTGGCTCTCGCCTTAGCGCCGCGCACATTCGTTTCAAACATTTGGAAGAGTTGCACGGAATCCCCTGAACAGCGTACCAAAGAAAATGGGATTTGGAAGGATTCGGGATTATACGGGTGCAACAGTTATGTTGATTCGCGGTGTTGAAGTCCCAAAGGTGGCGTTCTGGCGCGATTCTGGATCGTCAAGACGGAGCAGTCAGGTTGATCCGTGGCGTTGGAATCCAGAGAACAAATTCTGGCATGCTTCAAGGTCTTCAAACGGTTGCCGTCCAACGAGGCACTTCCCTCAATGGAAATGAACCGCTGTAGGGGCCTATGAAGAGGGAGCTTGGAGGGGGGGGTAATTCCAACATCGTTCATGACCCTTAGATGTACACTGGTCCTCCTCCTCCTCCTCCTCCTCCTCCTCCTCCTCCTCCTCCTCCTCCTCTTCCTCATCCAGGAGGCCCCCAAGAAGCCCCCAAACGGCCCCAAGAAACCACCATGAGGCCCGCGGAATTGCATACGAATGACACGTTGTTGCTACGCCTTGGAATTGTACACGAATGGTACGTTGCTGCTTCGAAAGAATTGGATCCGAATGGTACGGAAGTGTATTCGATCAGAATTTGAACTTGGCATTGCCTTTGCTGACACGCGGTGGATGCTCATTGTCCGCGTGGACATTTGCACGCTCGTCCCGGCGCTGGAACGGAGGGTGACGCATCCGCCCCCCGTGGCGCTGGCAGCGCCCCAGAGCGGGAACAACGACACGGCAGAACAGAGCGGCAGACGAGCAGGGCAAACCATCCAACGCCCAGTCTTGACAGTGGAGGCCCGTCCACAAGAAACCTCCCACAAGAAACCCAACCCCCAGGACGTCCATTGACTTTTGGCCTGGGAACGTCACGCGTTCCATAGCAAAACCATCGAAACCCAAGAAGCCCAGGGCACCCTGGAGGCAAGCAGGGTGTTTCTTGGCATTGGTCCACACTGCAAGAGCCATGGACGTGAACCCCGCGAAGCGCGGGGAATCTGCAGATAACCTAAACTGCCGCAGGTCCGTGCGGAATTCTTGGATCGGCGCTGGGCGCCCTCCCAGGTGCGCGAAGCGCGCCAGGGGCGGCGCCAGAGGCGCCGCCAGGGGGAGTCGAGCGCCGACCGAGGAAATACACGGCATTCTTCGGCATGTCATGATTATGCTGGTTCTCGGAACGAGGTAAGGGACCGATACCGCTGCTCCCGCAATCTATCGGGGGGTGCACTCTGACCAGAACTTCGAGGAACTTTCAGCCGTGGGGACGTGGGCTCTCCTGAGCATCGTTTAACCGATCCCCATACCCACCAGCGTGGGCTGGGCCCCACTGACCGATTTACCCCCCTGATGGGGATATAACTAGGCTGCTCTCTTCGGGTTTCGAGGGGCATATACCCAACTGAGGTGGTGAGACGGTGGGGCTCGAGATGTGGACGGGGATGGGGATAGGGATCGGTTAAACGATACTGATCACCAGGACGAGCAGCGGTATTGGCATCTGCTCGCCGTGCGAAATGTCTGCTCCTCGGGTCCAAGCGAGGCCTTCCGTCTGCCGAGGGCGCCACTGCCCCCCCCCCGCCCACCGAACACGCCAGCCCTCTTGAGCTCCTGTCGGCTACACGCAAGAGTGACCCTACTCCGGGTTTCTTAGCAAGCGTGGGGGGGGACCCCCCCGACGGGGGTCAACCTCGCCTCGTCATCTCGCCGTGAAGGGGGTCGAAGCGCCTTCGGCGCGCGGTGGCTGCCCGCGACTGGGGTCGATGCGGGGCTGTCGGCGGGGGTGACGCCCCCTAGACGCTTATAAAGAAACTCGGAGAAGGCAAGAGTGACCTTTGGTGCGCGGCTTTCGGGGAGCCGCGGGGCGCCCAAGCCCAAGCAAGCAAGACGCTGCTGCCGCATCGCGCTCGGCGATCCGGGGACCCCCGGTGGGCCAGCACCGAAGGCCACTCCGGCGAAGGGTCACTCCCAAACATCCGGCCGATCCGATTTTTGCGATGTGTGGGCCCCGGAGGTCCGGACCGCCTCCCCAGGGCCGGCTGTTCGTCCTGAGTCGTTGTTGTCACGCTCCCGAGGCTTGGCGAGGGCCCCCGGAGGCCCGGAACTGCCAAAAGCCCGCGGTTCCAATCTTGTTGGGGCGTCGGATATCTGGGCTCTTTTGCTAAGCGATGTCCTTGCCAGAAGGGTTCGTGACCGTCGTCTTCACCTGCGGGGCTCAACAAAAATACACCCCACCCCTACCTTCCTCATCCCCTCCCTCTCCCGGGAAAAGAGGAGGGGAAGCGAAGGGTGGAGGAGGGAGGAGGGTGGAGAAGGGAAGAGGGGAAGAGGAGGGGAAGAGGAAGGGAAGCGACGGGTGGAGGAGGGAGGGGGAAGGAAGGTGGTGGTGTCTATTCTTCTGGAGGAGGGGAAAGGGGTGTGGCATGCATGGGTGCGGCGCCAAGCGCGCAGATCGACATGCTTTTCCTGCGACAGGTGACACCGCCAGGCTCAGCACTGGCACCACACCCCCTCGTGCCACACCCCCTCCCCCCCTTCCCGAGTTCTCCCGGCCCGCGCCACCTGCACGCACCGGGCGAGCAGGCCCTTCGTGGCGAACGTGCCCTTCAGGGTCTCGCCCTGCCGCGGGGCCGCGGGCGCGGGGCGCGGCGCGCCGGGCCGCGGGGCCGCAGCGCGGCGGCGTCGGCGCGGGCGCGGTGCAGGATCCGTCGGGGTCGAGAGGGGGGATCGGCTCGAATTCGGTTGGGGCGTCGCTTCGTGTGCGGGTGTCCAACCCCCGAGAGAGGGGGGGGGAATCGGCTCGCATCGGTTGGGCGTCGCTTACAGTCGGCCGTTGTCACAAGGATGCGCGACGAGGATGCAAGGGCCGACGGCGCGGTGGCGTCGGCGTGGGCGCCGTGCATGAGCCGTCGGGGTCGACTGGGGGAATCGGATCGAGTCGGTTGGGCGTCGCTCAGAGTGCGTGTGGGGGGGCGATCAGTGGGGGGAGGGAGGTGCCCTTCAGGGTCTCGCCCTGCCGCGGGGCCGCGGGCGGGGCGCTGCGCTCTGCCGCGGGCTCACGGCGCGGTGGCGTCGGCGTGGGCGCGTGCAGGAGCCGTCGGGATCGAGAGTCGGGGATGGACAGAGCACCCTTTCGTGAAACGTGGCTTCGTGAAAACGACCTCGGAGCATGACGGCCGCGGCGCCCTCTCGAGAAGCGAAAGCAGACAATTCACTAATCGACATGTCAAGGTGGGGGTTCTGCCCACTCCCGCGAGAGGGGGGGAATCGGATCGCATCGGTTGGGCGTCGCTTACAATCGGCTGTTATCAGAAGGATGCGCGATAAGGATGCAAGGGCCTGGGACGCCCATTTCAAGGCTTCTCGAGCGGGGCGCGGCCAACGAAAGTGGCCAAGGATGGACCGAGGAGGCAAGGATGCAAGGGTACCCTTGGGAAGATTGCCTGTCCTTGCTGCGCGGGTTGACTGTAATGGGGGGGGCGATCATTGGGGGAGGAGAGAGGTGCCCTCTTCTGGCCCCAAAAAGGTCACCTTTCTGGGCCCGAAAGGGCTTTGGGGGCTGACGGGCCCCCTTTTCGGCAGCCCTCGCTGCCCCCCATGTATCGCCCCCCCCCATTTAGAGGCCTCCTGGATGGGGTCGGAGTAGATGGGGTCGGAGGATCGCGCCGCATCGCCGATACATCGGCGATGTATCGGCGATGCATCGGCGATGCAACGTCGACATCGGCGATGCATCGGCGACGTCCACGTGAAGCGAATCGGGCTCCACATCGAGCCGCATCGGCGATGCATCGGCGATACGGCGCACTCCGACCCCACCTGCTCCGAAACCCATCTGGGAGGCCTGGACCACTTCTCGCGGCTCAAGCCGGGATGCGCCGCGTCCTGCCGGGTTGCGCCGGCACGGGGCTGATGACGTCGGATCGGATCGGCTGCGCCCGGGTAGGAGCGCCAGGCAAGCACGGGGCCGCATCTAGGCGTCGGAACAGCGCCTCGGGCCAACCAACATGGGCACTGTGTAAGGTCCCTCTCCTCTCGCTGAGGGACCCTCCTCGGAAGTTTCTGGAGCGAAAGGGACGGCAGGCACTGCGAGGGAGAGGAAGCTCCCGCAGCGGAGCGCATATACACGAGACATCTCCGAAGTCCCTGCCACCATAGGCATGACACTACAGCCATCGTGCTACAGTGAGGAGCGCCAAATAAGGAACGGGGGCACTTTGCTATCCGTGCCGAGCCTCGAGCAAGAGGAGGTTCCCCAACCTGGGAGGGTCGAAAATCAACGCCCGTCCTGAACCCAACGTGGCCTTGACTTCAGCGTCGTAACTGATATGGTTGTGTTGTGTTGTGTTGTTTGGTTACGCTCCTGTATTCCCCTTTTATGGATGACTTGTGCTTGTCTCCGTGTTATGATTCGTTGGTCGTTTATCCTCGGCATGTGACGATTTACGATACGAAGATTGGACTTGGTAATGTGTATGGGTGTGTTCCGCCTCTCATCCGGTACAGATGACCGCCCTCTTCTTATGGCGACGCACAATGTCATGTTCGCCTGTCTTTTTTGTATATTCCTGCGGGCGCTGACTAATCATACTGTATACGGAAGACGGTTGCTTCATCTTTGCTGCTCTGTCCCAAATGTTGCTTAGTGTGAGGTGTCCCTGATTGCTGTCCATGTGTGTTGTAATATATTGGATTCGTCTGTCCCGCTTCGTGTCATGCGTTCTCCATTACCCTACTGCGCACCCGATATGTCTAGCACTTGCATGATATGGATGTTGTTCTAGCTATGGTCCTACCTTTGTCGTGTTCCCTTGTTCTCTCCTGACCTTGTTACATTTTCATGCCCCGTTCGCATGTCCCACTTGTGTGCGAGCCGTTCGGCTGACTGGCGCGCTGGAGAAGCGCATGCGAGAGAAGTGAAGTGGCTCGTAAGAAACAACTTACGCTGGACAGCGCAGCATCATGCAACCCTATGGCGCTGTTCAAGAAAACGGCCCTGGCAAGAGGGGGCAAAGGGAGACAGAAGAGAGACAAAAGCGGGAACAGAGGGAATCTGTCGGGGACAAGTATGGACGGTCATCGGGGAGGAGGATTAAGAAGATGGTGAGGGGTGACGTCGCAAACCAGACAGTCAATATGGTAAAGAAACGAGTACATATAGTTCGAAGCTCCGGAAGAGAGGGAGGCGGAAGGTTAAGCGGGAGGAGAGGGGAGGACGGAAGGAGGGGGAGAAGGAGAAAACGGTGGTGGTAATGAAAGGAGGGGTCGAATGAGGACAAACGAGAAAGGAGGAATGAACATATATGAGGGCAGAAGAGGAAGATCAGAGCAGATGCATAGAACGTGCGCAGTGCACGGCGCGCAGTCCACAGAGGTACTACAAAGTGAATAAATTGCACGGCGCGCAGTCGAGAGTGCACTGCGCATTGTGGTTCCGCTTGCGCCCAAGGTAGCTCGAAGATGGCAATAGATCCCCCAAGATGGTCCCAAGCGTGGCGCTAACTAACTCGATTTGCGCGAAGATGGCGTCCAGCAGTGAGATACCTGCATGACGGCTCCCAGCGGCTACGAAACCTCCTAGGGCCTCAATGGCACCCGAGAAGCACATGATTTCAAAGCTATTGTCTGTTGAATGTGTTTGGACTTCTCTCCCTGTCGCTCCTGATTGCCTTGTCAGGCCGTCAGGTGGCCCCAGCATGGTCCAAGGGAGCCCCGACACGGGACCAGAATGGCTCCAAGCGGGCCCCAAAACCCTCCAAGAACAGCGCACGTTTCTGCTTCCAGCACGGGGTTCCCTATCAACGAGGGCGCGCCGCTGGATGTCCCCAAGGGGGGAGGGGGGGGGATCCGTCGTCGGGGGCCCCCCCCCCTCCCCTTTCCCGATCCGTCGTGGGAGGCCCCCCTCCCCCGTTTCCCGGTCCGTCGTCGGGGACCCCCCCCACACGCCCTTTCAAGGGGGCAAAAGGGGGAGGGTCCGAACCCCTCCCTCCTCTCTTCGGCCGCCAAATTCGATCCCCCCCCCCCCCCCGTTTCGCCACGGCGCCCCCAATCTCGGGAACCCGACCCCTACCACCCCTATAGCACGATACCTTACCCTTACCCTAACCCATTACCCAAACCCCAAGCCCAAACCGTAGCCCCAAACAGTACTCACGATTCAGTACGCACTACTCACTAGACACAACACACTACTCGCTCCTCACTATTCACTACTCACTGCTCACCTGTCACTACTCACGACTCACTACTCACTACCCACGACCCACTACCCACCACCCACTACTCACCACTCCCTGCTCCCTACTCACTACAAAGAAGTCGTTCCTCACTACCCACTACTCAATACTCACTAACCACAATTCACTATCCACTACTCACTCATCACGAACCACTACACACTACCCACTTACAACTACCCACTACTCAGTACCCACACCTCACTACTCACTACTCACTGCCCAAAACTCCCTACTCACTATCCACGACCCGCTACTCGCTACTCCCCACAGAGTACGCACTACTCACTGGTCGCTACTCTATACGCCCTACCCGCTACCCAATACGCACTATTCACTACCCACTACTCACTACGCACTACGCTACCACTGCTGACTACTCCCTACTTCCTACTCCCTACTCACTACTCCCAACCCCCAACTCACCACTGACCATTCAGTACTCAATACTCACTACTCACTAAACACTACTCACTGCCCACTACTCACTAAACACTACTCCCTACCCACTAACCACTATGCACGACTTACTACTGAGTACTTACACTTCACTCCTCACTACGCACTGCCCACAACTCACTACTCACTATCCGATACTCGCTACCCAATACGACATATTCACGACCCACTCCGCACTACTCGCTATCCGCCGACCCTGTCGGCGTGTGCGAAGGGCTTGGCTGTTCGAGTCGTCGTCTCCGTCGGTCGTCGCCTCCGTCGTCCCCTTTCCCTGCAGCTTCCTTCTCAAGCTCGCGAGCGAGAGAAAAATCTAGCAGTGTCGCAATCGAGTCGAAGGGAAGCCCCTTCCATTTGATCCTTCCAGGGGTGGGGGGGTCCGGGGGGGGGTGGGGGTGGGTCCCGGGATGGGTGGGGGGGGGGGGGGGTGGTGGAGGGGGGGCGGGGGGAGGGAAGATTAGTTTTTCCTCGGGCGGCCTAGAAACATCGAAAACAGCCCAAATGAGGTCCGAATGCCCAAGATGGCCCCCGAGACGGCCCAAGAGGGCCCCGAGTCGCCCACAGATCGGCGGAAAACGCCCAAGATAGCTCCAAACCGTCCTAGAAGCCTCCAAAACGTCCCGGGCCCCCTCCAAGAGACCCCCAGGAAGCCTCAAGAGGCCCCCACGAGGCTTCCAAGCGGCCCCTAAGAGTTTCCCAAGAGGCCCACAAACTACCCCCAAGAGGCCCCCAAGAGCGCTCGTCGTCGTCGTCGTCGTCGCCATTCTGGGTCGGTGGCACCGGCCGTAAGGCCATCCCAATATTCACGACCCACTCCGCACTAGTCGCTGCTCCCTCCTCCCTCCCCCCTGCTCACTCGTCACTAGTCGCAAATCGCTACTCACTACTCACTACTCACGAATCCCTACTCACGACTCACTACCTCAC